CTTTTGCCGATGTAGCTATTATATCAGGCAGGACTATATAGTGCATCTTTCTTAAGGGGTCATTTTGTCAGTGAAGGAAGGTGTTCGGTCCATGTGGGTGTTTGAGACTGCAGGATTTCATTGCAGTGTTCTGACACAGCCAGCCACTGTTTTAGCATTCAGGACACATACAGAGAGGAGAAAAAAGAGAGAGGCCAAGCACAGGAGAGTGAAGAAGCAGAGGAGGAAGTCCAATGAGCCAAACAGGAACACAGAGGTTTTTGAGACTGAATAAGAGACAGAGAGCCTCTTTGCATTCTAGCTCTGATGCCAAAACTTTCACTGAATCAAGGATGCTTTCTTCATCGGAGCTTCAATGGTAGCTCTGTCACTTATGTATGCATTTGTGCATTCCTAAAATCTATTCACACCACAGGTGCATTAATATAAAGAGATTTTTCTAGGTGACTTTTACAGGTGCATAAGATTTGCCCTTACTTTTGTGTTCTCATAGTTGCAAGCCTTTTAACATCCTCCCTATTTTAGGCATTTGTAATCTACTCTGTCTAAGCCAGTAATCTGCTACCTCAAAAAGTTGGCTTTTAAGTTTTTTAAGTAATATCACTTAAGACATATGGAAATAAAAAATTCACAGACCAGCAGTGGGACAGCACAAAGATCATGTATATATATATACTACAGATATCTTTCTTCAGAAGTGAGCCTCAAGACCAATGTTCCCCATATTTTCTGGTATGTGTTATCTGTTTAACCTTTTTAATATTTTGGGAATTTTACTTACCTGCAGCATAATTGTCAAAGCGAAGAGGTAAAGTGTGATGATCACACCCAAAAAGTTTGGCAGCACACTATGAATTTCAGAAACCAATCCATTTCTTCTTCAGCCTCAAGAATCCTCATTCGCTCATTTGCAAACACCTTCACTTTTCAATTAGATTTTCTTTACTTATCATACATATAATAAGGTAATAACTCGTGTTGTAATTGAATTATTGGTTCTTTTTGAAAACAGAAACTCCCACTTCTGCACTGCATTTGTCCTGACTGATTTTCAGTTCACTATTCTGTCATAATATGCTGTCATTGCATCAACACCTTATTGGTACAGAAGGATATCAGATACTCAGAGTCAGAGACAAGGCTGAACCATAGATATTTGCTGTTTTTTCCTGCCGAATAGTTATAGCACTCAATCTGTTTTCTCTGCATGCAGCCTTGCAGCCCCAAGGAGCTCTGCAGTAAAGAGTTCAGTTTAGTGATCTGACCTCAATCAGCTCAGATTAAAGCTGTGGTCCAATGTCTGGCCCCCTCTGACCTTTTTGACGATGCAGCGTACCTGCAACTCTGAGCAGACAGAAATTTGTCGGAAAACAGCTCATTCCTCACCACGAAAAGTCAGCACAGTGGATTTGCCATTTTGCTTCTGCAGGGCTATTTGATTGTTTATGTTTATGCATTTAGCAGACGCTTTTATCCCAAGCAACTTACAAAGTAAGGTCTCTACATCTTCAGTGAAGAATAAATGGATTTGTGGAAAAAAAAATATCTGCAACATTTGAGGCTTAAAACTGGTCGATAGTGACTACTTTTTCAAGACGAGGTATTAGCCCCTGAAAGGCAGCTTCCTGTTCCTAACTTTATCGTCCAAAGCAACAGAGGAGAGTTGAAGTAGGCTGAAGAAGTCACGCCACACACACTGAGAGCATTCACAAGCCCATTTATCATCTCTGTGTCTCTGCTGACCCAACTAGAACTGGACCCTTCTTTGCTGTGTCCGACTCACAGTTTACTCTGTGCCACCTTCCTCGTTAAACAGTAACAACACAATTCACCGTCTGATTCTCTGCACAAGCTTTTTTTTCCATTCTGGGCCCACATGCAGTCATCCTACATTTGGTGTGTTATCTGTGTTGCTTTCAGTGAAAACGCTGACAGGAAGATGTTGAAAATATGACCTAATGGACTTGTTTGCAGATTTGTGCGTACATGCCACACTGAGCTGTCTTTACATCTTCACTACAAATCAATTTATTATGGCTAATATGATAGATGTTTGATCGGCCTCCGATCACACTGTGTTGAAGATGTTAACCGCAAATCCAATAAATATAAAATGTTGATCCTTTGCAGCTAAATTAGTCCTTACATGCAGATTGTCGGCCAAGACTGGACCAGTTTGAGTTTCATTTAAATCACAGCGAGCGTCTGTTGACAGTGAGGATGCTGTGACACTAGCTCATCTGTATGTCGCGGCATATTTAGCCTGGTGAGAGTGAGGGCCTGCTGTTCATATTAGACTCTGACTCCGGCAAAGTGGGGATGATTAGATAAAGTGTGTCTGGTGGAATGGAGCACTTTTTCACTTTATGGTAGCAGTGCCTGTAAGTGAATAGAGAGAGAGGGACCCCACTTTCTGACAATGGCACAGAAACGTCTGCGCAGAGATTTTTATTAATGCATTTGAGACCTGAGGCCTTTATTAGAGCCTTCATTAATCCATTGCAGTTTATCTAGTATGCTGTACTGCACAAGTACAGCGCACATGGGTACTAGAACTAGTTTGACTTTTAATGACAATATGCATACTTTGTCAGATACTGGCATTATCCACAGAAAAACGCTCCTAAAAGCTGATAGGGTGAGCTTTTTTTATAAAGTAAAAAAACAAGACAAAGGAAATAAAGAGGAGCCAGTCACAGAGAAAAAATACAATACCAGAGCATTCATTTTGAGTCCACTCCCTATTGTAATGTCTTCTCCACCTTCACTTGGTTCTGTCACATCACAACTGAGCTATGACGTCTTAAAAGGTATTGCAGGAGGATAGAGGTGCTTGAAGAGAAAATTGCAGCAGCTCACAGCGGCTGGAGTGAAATACCATTTTGTCTCACTCAAGATGGATTCCACAGTGAGATTTCAGAGTACCAGAACAGAATCAAAATGGAGAAGCCAGAACGGAGGAGAGAGAAAAGGGGGAGAGGCAGCGTGTGGAGTGGACAGCTATGCAGATGTTTGAATTTTGTTTTTGCCGCTGCTTTATGATGTATGGTTTTCAGCTTTTTCAGATTACTGCTCTCATTTAATCTTTTCTTCGAACATAAACACACACAACCCTTAGCAGTGTTAAATATCCACAATGGAGACCATTCATTTCTGAAATACAGATATGTGCAGAATCAGTAACAAATCGCTCTAAGGCAATGATGTAGAATGGTGTTTTTTAGCTTCTGGCCTCCTCGACCCCAAAGATGATCTTCTCTTCCTAATCGTCTTGCTTGCTGGCATGCATGGCTGGTGGGCACATCCACACACACACACACACACACCGCTCCCCCTCTCTTTATGGATTCCACTTGCTGGTCTAACAGCCGTGTATGTAAACCCATGAAACCCCTTCAGGACATCAAATCCGTGGAATTTGTTGTCGGTTCTATCTAGGTCAGTGCTTACAATAGCTGTGCAGTTTTGTTTAGCTTCTGCCACGTCTCTATTTATTTCTCCTTGTTTTCTTAACCTCACAAGGTTGATTTCACTTTGCCGCTGTGAACATGAAAAAATGCACATAAAATGTAAGGATATTAAGCATGCTTTGCTCCTTTCAGACATATCAGTCTCCAGTGATGTATTAAAACATGCTGTGACTTGGTTTCAACATCAATGCCTAACCTAATGGTACCTTGAGGTTATTTCTATTTTTCTGAGCAAAATCGTCTGGGGTGCTATTATTTGGTTTTTGCAGTGTTTATGCATTTGTTTTCCTTGTGATCTTTAGATGCTGATGCTGCATGACTGAAAAGGGGCTATATTTAATTCATTAATACACAAATTGGAAAGCTGCACCTACTTGTTTGGACATTTTTTAAAGAATTCTAAAAGGTTTATCTGGTCAAAATGCAAAGTTATTTTTAAGGTAAACATTATTGAGAGAAGGTGTTTTTTTGTTGTTGTTTTTTTTCATCTGTTTATCTCATAGTACTTTGTTCCACAGCTGGACATATGCTTTATTGGTTGTTTTTGTGGCTCTTTTTATTTTGGGGACTTAACAGTAGTTTTTCATAAGTAACTGTGTTTTGAGATTCTGGCCTTTTTATTGTTGACAATTAAACAATTGATGCATATCCACATCCTTAAGCCCACTCTTGAGTTGACAATTTCAGTGAAGAAACACAATTATTAAATATGCAAATGGCAGAAACTGTTCAAGCGATGGCTTTGTTTTCTTTTTACTTTTCCTATTGATACCACTTTAAGTGATATAAATAAATGGAAGAGTTGCCAAGATAAGAAAAAAAACTGGTTTGTTCCATTTAACCCTGTGAAGTCATTGCACAGGAGTTCCCATCTTAACCATTTAGATATTACCTATGGCAGCTCTTCTTCTGACATCAAAGGTCTTCTTTTCTATCTCTGTCTTACCATCCCCACCGCTACACAGGGAGGACAATCTTGCGTAAATTGCTTTTTCAATCGGTTCTGACATCAGTCTGCTCCCATGGGAATGTGGAAACCCATGTGATGGCAGAGAAGAAGGTTTCTTTCCTTATAGATGTTGACAACCTCACTCAGCTTGGTTTTGATCTGCAGAATTAACATAATATTATCACACACAGAGAACTCACTGTGACAGCTAAAGAGGGACTGGCTCTGTATCAAATGTTGGCACCACACCGACAATAAAAATCATAAAGACAATAAAACCGTTAAAGGTCAAATATGTAGAAGAGATGCTTGATTTAAATTATTTACTGTACAGTTAGTCTTAAAGTTTCCTTCTATAGCAAATGCACTGTCTATAGTTTATTTAAATGCAAAATGTTTTTGCCACAATGTCATTTGGAATCATCAAATACTTTTGTTTTCAAAGGTTTTGTTTACTGTGAGATTCATAGTTCACAATCACCCTGTGGAGAAATAAATCTTTTCTACTTTTGCTAGATTGTATAAATATTTTAAGATGGTGGAGTTATTTTGATTCCAAGCGTGCTTCTTATGTGCTCCAGGACCAAGATATCTCATCACATCCACGGGAGCCTTGTATATTCTAGACGTCCTGCCTGAGGATGGCCTGAATAACTACCGCTGCACAACACGGCATCGCTACACTGGTGAAACCCGCCAGAGCAACAGTGCACGTCTCATCGTGTCAGGTCAGTACTGTATTCACAACAACAACAGAAAAAAACTGGTTCCAGTTTCATACACTGTGTTTTGCAAATGTGTCTGAGCAGTTTCCATCCATCCATATTCTATACAGCTAATTCTTAGTAGGGCCATCTCAGGTTTATCCTCAGGCGAGGGGCAGAGGACACCCGGGACGGGTCACCAGTCCATCACAGTAGCACATAGAAACAAAAAAACACTGACAGTCGTTCTTAGGGCGAATTTTAGAGTAATCGTGTAACTTAATATGCATGTTTTTGGATGGTGGGAGGATGTCGATGTGAAAACATGAAAAGCCACACATGAAGGTCCCAGGGCCCCTGGGGATTCAAACCATGAACCCTCTTGATGTGAGACATGGGTGCTGACCACCACACCACAGTGTCAGATAGTTTCTCTTCCTCATAGAACAAAATATACAGTTTATGGAACTAAATGTTGACCCCAAGAATCAATATTGGATTATACTGTCAGGCACCTGGCAATGCTCACCACTAATTAACACTAAATTCTCTGCTCCGTCCAGATCCCACCAATGCTGAGCCAGGAATCTTGGATGGCTTTGACCACAGAGAGGTGATGATTAATCACCGGGTGGAGCTGCCCTGTAAGGCTTCGGGCTACCCAACTCCCAAATACCGCTGGCTGAAGGACAACAGCCCTCTGGAGTCTGACGGCCGCTTTCGCCAGACCGTCTCAGGACTGCTGATAGAAAGCACACAGCCCAGTGACACGGGCATATACGCCTGTGAAGTGTGGAACAGTTATGGCAATGCTGAGGTCATGGGACGCCTATATGTCAAGCGTAAGTCTTTTTCTAATGGAGGAATTCCTTTTCTTTGTTTTGTTTTGTTTTGTTATTTTATATGAAACAGGAGCTTCCCTTGTAGTTTTGAAAATCCATGTTTAAAAAGTCCCTGAAAATAAGGGCTTTCTTGCCAATCTTCCAAACTGTATTACTGACTTATCAGCCTGTCATCTGTCAAGTATGATATAATGTATTTATCTATCTATAAATATCTATATTCATACATCCATAGAGCCCTTGAAAGCGGTGGTCAGCCCTCGAAAGGTGAAGGGCAGTGTGGGCAGCAAGGTGTCTCTGTCCTGTAGCGTGAGTGGCTCAGATGAGTATGAAATCTCATGGTATCGGAACGGTGAAATCATTTACCCTGGCAACAATGTTCGCTTCACTGGGCTTAACCGGGAGAACCTCATCATGGAAGGAATGTCAAAAAGTGATGGCGGGGCTTACCAGTGCTTTGCGCGGAAGGGCAAGATGTCTGCGCAGGACTTTGTGCAGGTTATCCTTGAAGGTAAAATAACTCTAGTACGAAAAATGTCCATTGCACACAGATGCTGACCCACACTTCAATGTATAGCAGCTGTCCTGTGCATAATCAGTGAGTTAGCAGATCGATACAGGGTTTACACAGCTCTGACTCTCTTCCACTGCTAGTATGATCGTTCCAGACTTCACAAAAACACACCAACATGCACTCTTTTTATTCAATAACCTTACTTTGGCAGCGTTGCTTTGGCAACTGTCTCCCGTGGTCAGGGAGCTGGAAGAAGAAGATATTGATAATCTATAATCATGTGGGATAGACTTAGATTATCAGAGAAAAGCAGCAAGCAGACGGACATTTCAAAAGCCAACCACGCCCAGTGTGTGGGAGGAAAGCTGCTTGAACGGAGCCCCTGATGAAAAGCAACAAATGATGAAGTCTTGATTTGAAAAGGAAAAAATAACAGGATACTTACACCAAAATACATTTATTTTTAAAAAAATCTACCAAGGGGCATTTTCTGATATTCTTCTTGAAAAATTTAGATTTTTAATTTGAGCAATGTTAATGTTAAATGCAGAATAAAAAGCTTTCAAATGTCTTAGTGTTATTGGAAATATAATTCATTTGTCAGCCTTAAATATAATTAAGAATTTGAATATGTAATAATTACATCATTAAAATGTAATTTTATGTACATGTATTTAAGAACTCAGGCACTATAAAACTAAAACTGATAAAGATAACCAAAATTGTTATTTGGAACATATAAATCATTGAGTAAAAATATAAATGACTTTTACTAATTCAATGTTTTATTTAAAGTTTAGTGTAGATAAGCTTATTTGTCACTTCATATTAAGTTATACATCTTTTGGTATCTTGTCGTTGATTGAACCTTTGTTTACTATTGAACCATTGTTTAATGCCTGGAATTGTTTTAGATTTTACCTTGTTGCTCACACTTTAGTCAGCCTGTTGACATGTTCTCTCTTATCAAAGTCAGATTAGAAAAACTACTAAACAGCACATTAGTGAGTCTGTTTTATTTAAGCCCCTTTCCACTTTTTCCCTCACGGCAGATGGCACTCCAAAGATCTTGGCCTCCTTCAGTGAGAAAGTAGTGAACCCCACTGAGCCCGTCTTCCTGGCCTGCACCGTTAAGGGCACGCCACCTCCCAGGTGCACCTGGTCGCTGGATGATGATCCCGTCATCAAGGACAGCCACCACCAACTGGGCCACTTCGAGAGCCACGAGGGCCATGTGGTCAGCCAGCTCAATGTAACACACACCCAAGTGCAAGATGGTGGGTTGTATCGGTGCACGTGCAGCAACTCAGCCGGGGCCGTGTACCACCAGGCTCGAATAAACGTAAGAGGTGCTTGTCAAATCAGCTCCTCCAAGAACAACAATACACATACCCGTCTGTCTGTGTGTGTGTGTGTGTGTGTATGTGTGTGTGTGTGACAGTGAGTGAAAGTTGGTTTTTTGGGGTTTAGATATCAATTGCATTTAGTTTTCCTTCGGCGTTTGGTGGTGCACTTTGCTTTTAGTTGCGCTTCTCCTAAGATTTGTTTGCATCTGAATTTACTTTGCTTCATAAATTGAGTTATGAAGTATTGAATATGATCATAATCATACCTCCCATAGGGCTTTTTCCCAAGGATAGATTAAGCTTTGGCGAGCTTATTTTATTGCGTTTGTCTCTTTATTTATATACTTAGTTGTTCATGTTAGGACTTTGTCTCTTACTTCTAAAACCATTACTATATCACACTTGCCTTCCATGAATGTATTTTTAGGTCAAATTAATTATCCTGGTTTGCTGCTCATAAGCATTTGAGAACATGGTTTGTAAATAGCCAGAAGAAAAATACATTTCCTCTGTCTGAGTACATTCACAGGCTGTGTGCTTGTGTGCGTAAGTGATTATTCATGTGAGTCTGCGCGTATTTACTTAAGCAGCCAATTCGGCTCCTCACAATCACATGTTAAAGCGATTATTCTGTTTCCATTTTATGAGACATAGAGCGAGGCTCTCAATGTATTACATTTTCGGAGACGCAGTGGGGAGAATGCATCGCAGCTGGGTTATCAGTAGCACTAGTACAGTGGTATTTAAATATGTTTTCCTTCAGATGGTTTGCACACTTTAATCTGCCTGTCATTTCCCCACCTTCTGCTTGGAGTTATTCATTAGTTCTTGTAGTACAGCAAACAGCAAAAGCTTAAAACAGCAGCTCCCTTAATATTTGGTGTCAGTGGCCAGGTGTGAGCTGTGGAAAGATGCATGTTCATGTGAAATGGATTTGGAAGGCCGTGAATTCATTTACAAAAACACCTCAACAAAGCAAATTTCACGTCTTTTTGTATATGTCCACTCTTCCTTGGATGTCATTATAGAGATTTCTTTCTTAATCTCTCTCCCCTGTCAGGCCCTGCCAGCATTCGCCCAATGAAAAATATCACAGCGATTGTTGGAAGAGAAGCCTTTGTCCACTGCCGTGTGATTGGCTACCCCTACTACTCCATAAAGTGGTACAAGAACTCTGCGCTGCTACCATTCAACCACAGGCAGCGGGCATCCGCCAGCAACGGTACTCTGAAGCTGAGCAACGTGCAGCAGGCGGATGCTGGCGAGTACAACTGCAAGGTGATGATAGAGCCCAACAAGATGGACTCCCAGAGTGTCCATGTTCGCGTGAGAGGTGAGCACATGAAGCTGCAGCAAGGGTTCAACCGTAAGATATTCTGTTCTGATATTCTGCTCGTTGAAGTTTTATGTTTAGAGCGTAACATACAGTAAAATAAAATGTATTTAGCAGAAAGAGATTGCGATGCTGTATCCTGCAACTCGACCTACTGGAACAGCAACACATCTCATAAGGACTATTATCCTGCTGTCTTGGTGTTTTCTTTGGCTAAAACATTTTAGAAGTGAACAGAAGGACTAGCAGTGTCTTCACCGAAAGACATGGCATTCGTGTGAAATATGTAAAATGATATATTCTAAGAGAAATTATAGTTAATCTTCATTGTGATGGCAGCAACACATTTCAAAATAAGTTGAGGCAGCTCCATTTTCAACACTGTGTAACATCTTCTCTTCCTTCAACCGTAGTCTGTAAATGTCTGGAAGCTAAGACCAGTTTTTGGATTTTTGGGGGATTGCTGAGGCCCCATTCTTTCTTGCCTTGAAATAGACGTGTAGCTTCTCCACAGTCTGTGTCTGCTTTGTTGAATTTTGTATTGTCAACAATCCAGCACAACGTCTCTTAAAATAAATACAGTCTTCCCCATAAAGGTGCTGTCTGGGTAGAAGCACATGTTGGTCTAAAATTGATTGATGCCACTGTCTCAGATATGTAAGCTGCCAGGTGAACACTAATGCATCCCCATGTCATCATGAAATGTAGAAGACCTCCTGGCACAAATATTGAAAGAAAACTAAATGTCTTGCTGCCAAATTCGCTAATTTATAAAACTGAATTTGATAGAGGTTTATGTTGACTATGATTCCCTTCTCTTAGCACTGTCTACACACAAAGATGTATGTAAGTAAATAATAAATTCAGACTTGTAAATTAATCTCAAAGACAAAATTCCTAAGGGCATAAGTGCGGTTTATTAGGAATGTATTACTGCTGCATGATATTACAGGGCTGAGTGACTGATCTCCTCTGAGATCTTACAAATGTAATAGGTAATACTGAAAAGGGCTTCCCCATTATGCTTCCATTTACTTCACTCTGAGCTGCATGTTGTTACTGTAATACTCTATCCCATGGAGTGAGGGAGACAGAGGGAGAAACAGAGTGATTGTGAAAGAGAGAGTGATGATATAAAGCAACACTTCCCAGTGGTGCCGTAGCGAGTGAGTGCATTTGTTAATTTACTCTACTCATGCTTAAAATGCGGAAGTGGTTTGTGGGATCCCAGGAGTCCATTATCTCCACTTTGTTTTGAATTAAATAAGCTGCTAAAGTGCTGCTTATTTCAGTGTTGTTTGAACTTACTGGACACTCACACAGATTTCCCAGAAAATATACCACAAGCGTTTTGAATAGATTATTATGAAATAGCTATGTGATTGCATAACACAGGAATTTTTTTCCACTATGTGACTGCATATTATTAATGTTATCCTAAGTTTTACAAGCAGTTGAAGATACTGTAAATGCATGTAATTAACAGACTGTCATCACAGAAATATTTGGAACATTCATATTTAACCATCTTAGGGCCTCCCGAATGCAGACTGCTTAAAACCTATTTTAGTGTAAGAAATGTGTGGAATAAGCAGAGGTACTCACTGCTCTTTGGAAAAGGGAAAAGCCATATTGTAACATATGCCTTATGGTGGAGTGAAACTTCATTTTAAAATTAGTATTTTCCACAGCAGCTGTTTTATGTCCTTTTCACTTGTCCCTCCTTGTTATTTTATTTTTTTTATATATATCTACAGTTTTCAACACTTCCTAACTCATGCTTTGCTGTCTACTAATTTCTCAAGGACTACAGCAAAAAACATATCTAAAAAAGATAAAGATAAAGTCTTTGAAAAACTAGATTGCCAAATTATTGTTGATCTTATTACTAATTTCTTTTGAAATATATTATATTTATGTAGCAGCTAGGCTAAAAATGATCTCAACCAAAGTGGAAATTAGTACAGCTGGGAGTTTTTTTTTAAAGGTTTTTTGGTTCAATTGATGCTTCTAGTGATGAAATGACAAACTTTTGCAGAGATTAATGGCAGAGCGTCTTTTTGTCTTCAGGTTTTGAAACTTCCTCCTCTTCTTTAAGAAAATAATGCTGCATAACTGGGTTTTCTGTGAGAAAGAAAGTAACACTGTTCGGATGCTGAACTGAGGTAAATCAAATGTATTCCTTTTTTCTCTGTCTGCCTGCAGTGCCCCCCTACATCCAGCCCTTTGAGTTTCAGCGCTTCACCATCGGCCAGCGGGTCTTCATACCCTGTGTGGTCATGTCAGGTGACCGGCCGCTGGACATTACGTGGCAGAAGGATGGAAGGCCAATCCCCGCCAGCTTGGGTGTGACCGTAGACAACATTGATTTTACAAGCTCTTTGCGTATCAACAACCTGACGCCTGACCACAATGGCAACTACACCTGCATTGCCCGCAATGAGGCTGCTGCTGTGGAGCACCAGAGTCAGCTCATTGTTAGAGGTAAGAGAACACAAAATGAACCAGTGGCACCAAGAAGAAATCAGAATCTACTGCATAGGTTTAGCTGTATATCTGTCAATCCCTTTCCAGGCAGTTACTTTTGTCTGATTGGAAAAAAGTATACACCTTGCCAACAGCCATTGGTAATCGACATCTCTGTGTCTCTGTACAGTTCCTCCTCAGTTTGTGGTTCAGCCTGAGAATCAGGACGGGATCTACGGGAAAACTGTGACCCTCAACTGCTCTGCTGAAGGCTATCCACCACCCACCATTGTCTGGGAGCACTCCAAAGGTACGTCAAGCAAACTAAAAGTAAAATGTGCTTTCCATCTGCAAGCTGGCTGGGTGTTCACTTGCATCATTAGAAAAAGATCAGTGAAAGACAGAGACGGACTCAAACAGACAGACAAGAGGGTGGCAGGTGGGTTCAGCCACTTGAGCAGGACAGATGAAGAGGGGCCCCAGATGTTTGCTCCATCATCCATGTAACCTTGGATGAAAGCTTTCACCAACAGAAGGACAATAAGCAATGCAGAGTAGTGGGGGTTTGCTGTAGAGTGTGTATTTGTGTGCTAGGCCCCATGATCAAAGGAATGAGAGAATCAGATGTGTTTGCCACCCTTTTATGGGATTTATGTGTGCATGTCTGTGTGTGTGCCTGTGAGACAAGCAGACCTCATTCCTGATTATGTCTGTCTGACCAGTCCTGATCAGTATGTTTGGGGGGATCCAGCTGTGTGGTGTGTGTATCCACTCACTTATGGTGTTTGAGGTAAGACTCAATCTCTGGCAGACAGAAACACCAAAAGGCTCGCTTTCATTTCTTTTTTTCAGTTTTTAAATACTATTTTAGTTCTTCCATCTGCACATCCATTTGGTTTCTGTCACATATATTGGAATCTCTAGCAGGAGAAGTTGTCTGCCCAGAGTGTAAAACATCTCCCAATTAGACATCTGGAAGGCACCTTAGCCAGATGTTTGAACCACCACGACGGGCTCTTGTCATTGCAGAGGAGCAAGAGCTCTACTCCAGGTTGAATTAGCCCCTCACCTAAAGAGTGAGCTCAGATACTCTCCAGGAATGGTTGATTTTTGTTGCTTGTATTTGCAAACCCATTCTTTGGGTTAGTATCCCCAATTGAACACCATATATGAGGGCTGAGATACAGCATGAAAGCAGCACTGGAATCACGACTCTGTGATCATTAAGCTCATCCGCTTGAGGCAGCAACATAGACAGAGCTTCTAGTTGCTCTGCAATGTTGGTACACATTTAACTCAGAATCAAGAGTAATTAAATTAGCTGCCAGACCTCAGTTCACCAGCAAGCAGCCATCTGGAATACATTCATTGCAACAGAGACAGTGGATAGAAGGTTAGTGTTCCTGGGAGATATGGAACAAAAAGTAAAGGTCAACTGTTATAATGACTCACTCCATTTGGAAATGCATAGTTCATAATTCAAAGAAAAACACATCCACTCTCTTCCTTAGCCAGGGGAACAGAAACAGAAAGTCATCACTTGATGTTTTTTATAGTAAAGGCCATCCAAGGGCAATATTATTAAAAAGTCTTCCTTAAATAATATATACATGCTAACTTTGAAACGAGCATATGTAACAGCGGAGGGGGCGTGGCGCTCAGCTGCAGGAGGGGAGCCGTGGGGAAGGCTCAGGGGAACAGTGCCAGCGCAGGTGAGTGGCATACCTGGAAGCAGTTGGCTAATCACTCTCCCCTTGTTAAAGGGGGGGGGGAGCGACTGCGCAACAGGAACCCACTACAAACCAACCCTCAACCACCAACCAAATACCAAATTGTCCAGGAGGCAATAAAGGACACAACCAACAACAAGTACTCACAGTGGCTAAGAGTGCCTGAGTAACATTTCTCAAAGCTTATGATTGTTTCAGTTTGATACTGTCTTGTTATAATATAATCTTTTTGACAGCAAAGAGCTGTCAGAGCACAAGAAAGTGCTTAACTTAATTTTCTTTAAAAACCTGCTCTCATTTGCTCGCCTGCAGCAATAAAAGACTTTGTTAACATGCTAGTGAAAATGGGGATAAAAGCACTACAATAGTCAATGTCAGGGAAATGTCAGCTTGTCAGTATTTGTTGGGGATATTTCTACCACATTCCCTCTTTTAGAGTGACATAAATATATGCTGGTGTTCCTGAACCCAAATGCAGTGGGGACACACAGCATCCCATAGTGTTCTCACAGGTTTAGGGCCAATGCGGCTACTCTTGGTTTCAAATGAAAGGAGTGACTAGATATACCAAGGAATATCATTTAGTTTTTGGATAGTTAGATTGTTATGGATTTCATTTGAATATACTGTATATATATATTTTAATAGAAAATTGAGTATTTAAAGTACATCACAAGTAATTTCTCAAATTCAACACCCAGAGTTTCACACAGGAGGAAGATGCCATGGAAAACCTCTTATCTGACTTGAGTGGACATGTTTGAACCTTAACAGCCAGGCTCAGTGTTTAAGACCAGCTGCATTCTGAGGTCTCTGTGCTCTCTTTCTTCTTGTTGTTACTCCGGACCAATCTGCCGACATGTTGGACATTGGCATTAGTGTCTGTTCTGAATGCATCAATCCAGCAGCTCTATCTTCGCTTTGGCTGTGCTAAGCAGCTGTTTGCTGATTTAAGGATTAAGCCTGCTGTTAAGAAACATGTTTACAATCCTCCCTAAATCTGACAGGCCTTGTCATCAAATCTGCAAACAGAGAAACATGGTCAAATTAGTTGCACGTGCTCTTACACACACACAGACACACAAACACACAAACACTTGAACGTTAGGTCACCCTCTGCAGTCTCCATTCATATTTTACTCATCTTGACTAATGAGTATAGCTGGTGTGTACTACAACGGCTCGGGTGAGGTATGTAAAAGTTAATCTTTTTCAAACTTCTCTTCTGAACAGGTCCGGGTGTCCCCCAGTTCCAGCCCATCCTTCTAAACAGCGGCTCTCGTGTCCAGCTGCTGAGCAATGGCTCGTTACTCATCAAACATGTGCTGGAGGACGACAGCGGCTTTTACCTGTGCAAAGTCAGCAATGACGTTGGAGCTGATGTCAGCAAGTCCATGTACCTCACCGTCAAAAGTAAGAGCCTCATCAGTAACAGCTGATCATGAATGCCTTTTTCTGTTGCTCAGACAGGTTATCATATGGTTTGAAAACTATGATGAGCGTGAAATAAACTGCAAATAGTCACAAATGTGAAAGATTGATTCAAGTTATCAATAAAATTAATCACATAAGTGAAATTAAATTTAAAAAAAAACACAGACCTTTGTCCAGTGAGTCGAAATAGTGGAGCATTGTAGACAATAGACAAAGGAATACAAGCAGGTTCAAATGTATTTCTCGAATAGTCTGCTCCCTTCTTAGACCCCACTCGTCCAGTTCCTCCTACCTGTGCTTGTGCGTATCAGTGTTCAATTTGGTGGCTGGTTTAAGAATGTTGCAGACTACGGGCCCTCTGCCTCCACTTCAGCTTTAGTATGTCGCTGCCCTGAGCGCTGGGAGTGGCTCCTCATTTTCATGGTGCTTGGATGAGAGCTGGGCTTATTTTCCCATTGCTACACTTATCAATCTGGAGCATAAGGCTCCCCGCTGATTGGCAGCCCTCCTTCTCCGTCACATCCTACTCTCTATTTTTCCTTCATTCCTCAGTAGCCTCACAGAAACATACACTTGCACAGAAACATAGCTAATGCAAAGCAACACGATCAGAGAGATTTTAATTAATGAAAATCTTCTCTCACTGACCCTCATCTTTGACCAGTCTCAGCAAAAAAAATAGTTAATGTTCCGACCCTCCTTCTGGATAAAATGTCTTTGTTTTCCCCATCAATAGTATCTTTTGGCATACCATGAGATTTATGTGTATGTACGTATTGCGCGAGGCTGCGAGGCTGTCAGTTCTGCAGCAACACATTCAGAGACAAACACACTGCATTTTCATAGGTCAGTTTTCTGACTGTGGCATCCAGTTGCTATGCAGCGAGCTGACCTATGGCTGTAAGAACCAGCTTTTTCTTTCTCTTGCTACCACGCAAAGAGCAAAAACTGTGGCTGTGGCTAGAAGTAGATTCTTACCCCTGTAGTTCAGCCAACTCCAAATGGTAATTTAAAAGCACATCAGGCAAAGAAAATATATTTGTGTTTAGGCTATATCTGTTAGACTTTAGCAAAGCAGCATGCACCATGATAAAGCTATGCAAATTTTAAGAAAACAAGTGCAACAAATCAATAACACGTTCCATAAATATACAAAACAACAGGCCAGTGTTGTGCTCTGCTTTCTTCTGGCCTATATACAAGACGTTTTACGCATATGCAATGGTTATGGATGTGAAAGGGTATTTTTTTTCAGATTTCTTTTTCACATATTTTATGTCAAGCTCAGAAAGGTTACCAATGAAATGCTCGCTATTGTTATTCCAGGCTTTGGCCTCATGTTGTACTCGGGTCCCTCAAAGAGAATATTGAAAACTTTATCAGAATCATGCATTCTTACAACAAGCCAAATCATACATTTCTTAAAATGACCGCATGAAGTGTTAATAGCTCTTCTGCCTGCTCAAGTATATATTAGATGTAGCTGCAATATACAGAAATGTGATTTATACATTATGCCTTCATTATCAGCATTTGCAAAGTAACTGCATATAGTGCAGGGAAGTGTTTGGACTGGGAGCTGCAGCTGTGTAATTTTGAATTCAATACTGCTAAAAAGGCTTGTTATTCCTGTATTATGTATTTTTAGTAGTTTCCAGAAAAGACAGCTCACCATATCTCTTTTGTTGTTATTAATCAAATGAATTTTTCCCTGGTGTGCTTAACAACAAATCAACAGAGCAGACCTGCTGGAAACCATGTTATCTTAATTTTAATCTGAAGATATTTGTAGTCTTTAATAAGCACTTGTAATTAGCTGCATTGCCACAGATGGTTATTACCTAAAATTATATAATGAAATATTGAGTTGGACAATATTTTTTTCATGGGTTTGAGGAGGTTTTATGCAATAAATGGCAGTTCAAACATTTCTGTTATTTTTTCCCCAAAACTGTAATTTTGTCTAATTCTTTTGACAAAAAAATTTAGTCATTATTCAGCCCTATGACTAAAGCTAGTTAAAAGTACTAAAATCGAAAGAGGCTGGGTGGCTCAGCTGGTTGAATAGCTGCTCTGTGTACATTTTCCAAGGCCCTTTTTCTGCATGTCATCCTCCTTTCTCTCCGTCCTTTTTCCTGTTGAGTAAGTTTCAAAATAAAGACTTGACTTGTGAGTTTATTCTTAACGGCTGTAAAAAGGTTACAATTTGTGCCTAGCTCTCAGAATAAAGTCTTCACATCTTCCCCTCTAAATAATGATTTTGGTTATGGTGTAATTTTACACCATCCAAGTCTTCTATGATTCAATTAGATGTGATGCAGCCTTCGGTTCTTTAGGCCTCTTACGATAATACTAGGTGGCTGTTCTTTCTCAGCTGCTATTGGTTGCTTATTCATGACGTGCCGGTTCAGCGTCATGCTTTTCACTCATCAGCAGATCACATTTCACATTTAAGTCCCCAAAATGTGCTCACGCATTCAAGATGCTTTCAGTAAAAGAGTACTTACTTGCATGAGTGGTTTGAAGAAAGGAGACCATTACTGTACTCATTTTGCTTAACACCATTATGTCAGCAGTTCTGTGCTCCTGTGTTTGGATGTGCAACTTAACATTGCATGTATTTATAAGCATGAATGTCTTTTTATACATGCTGTGGTCTTCTTTCATTATGAATATGTGTTTGTATCCATGCATGGTACATTTTGTGCATTCTGCCTGCATGCAGTGTGTACAGTTATGAGTGGGTGAGAGTGTGTTATGAGACGTTTGGAACTCTTGAGAGCATTTCTGCCTCATTTAAATCAGTCAATACCTCAATTAGAAGCTGACGTTGGACTCAAGGGAAGAACAGTCTGCATGTTTCTCTGCTTTATGTGCACTCTCTGTCTTTGTTTCTTGCTCATCCAACAATAAGAGGAGCACCAAAGGCAAAAATAACACATTATCAGTTAAATTGTATGGCCTTGTTTATGTGCTACCTGCTGTTTATGTCAGATTATTTTAGATGTGCTAATACTTCCAACAAAGCATACATTAATTCCTCATTCCAGGTCTAACTGCTACCAACTGCTACAAACAAATGAGTGTAGTCCAGTACATCATATTTCAAAGTCATTGTATTTTATTTAGCAATAAGTCCTTTTTCTAAATCATCAGCTGTAATGTGACAATCTCCTCCTTGTGGTAGAGCTGTTTGTGGCAATTAAAAAAGCTAAAGGGCTCATTTAATTTATAAAAATCTGTTTTTAGAATGGTTTATTTAAATTGGCTTATACTCGTACTGTAATTTCAAGCAGCATTCAAGATGTCAGTTGGTCCACAATTATGTGCTTCACTAAGACATTAGTTGTTGAGTCTATTAAATATCAAGATAAGAGGAAAAATCCCATCATACTCAATTTACATTTCAACTAGTTCTAAAAGAGGGAAAGATGTGGCGCTCGATCATTAAAGCCGCCTCCAAAAATTATCTTTGCATGACTTATTTCAACTATGTCAAGGTTGAATCATTGTTGCAAGCCAGAGATTTTACCATTCTAAACACATTTTTGAAAAACAATTCAGATAAGTTCATTTTAAATGCATGTAGCCAGAGTTGCTTGCCGATGAGTACTGATAAGAATTTCTCATTACAAAAAATGCAAATCCGAAATTCTTCATCTGCCTTCCAGATGAAGAATACCAACAGTGCTTGCGTTTATGTTTGGAATATGACTTAAACTATGTGTAACCTTCAAAAAACATTTTACCAGTCTATATCTTTTGTAGATTTGTGAGACCATATAATTTCAATTGGTTCTTTTTTTTTATATTAACAGAAAACTATAGATCTATACACTTCAAAGCCAGTCTGGCCTTAAGCTGAAGAACTGCTTCTTTTTTATAAAAAAAAATGTTGCCACTCATTCATGGCTAAAATATTCAGCTGAAAAACAGATACTACGACACTATGAGGGGAGAGCCTGATAGTGTGGTCAAAGGATATGAAAAGGTCCACCTCTTTCTATTCATCTTTCTATCTTATCTTTCTATACCTCCGTCTATTATTTTCTGCACCCTGCTGTCTTTGTTCGCTTCCTTTCCCTCCCTTTTCTTCTCCTTCAGCCTTGTCTCTGCCTTACCCCCCCCCCCCCCCCCCCCCCCCTCACCCCCCTTACCTCTTCACTCACACATCCTCTTCTACCCATCCGTGTTTTATTGCCAGGCCCCTGTAATATTGCTGGATATTAAAAAATATACATCAACCAAGCAATTACAGGCTATCAAAAAGAATAGGTTTAGCCCGGGGCCCTCCAAGTGCTGCATGGTAGATGCAATGAGATGAGATGAGGAGATGAGAGACCCTCACCTCAGCACGAGGCACTGAAGCACAACCGAGATCAGTGGAGATTATGGAGCACGTTAGGTACTGCCTTCTGCTTCACGTTTCATTTACACTTGCATACACACCATTCTGCTCAAAGAAAAATCTCTCTGAGGTAAAAGAGATGTGTTCATGTATTCATTTTCAGGGTTGTCCAACATGCACATCGAAGAATTAAGTGTGTGCTCACACTTAAAAATAAACAGTGATTGTTGTTACTCACACATTACTTTTCCCTTGTCTCTCATTTTGTGCCAGTTTTACAGTTCCCTCTCTGAGCAAACATGATCTTCACTGATGTTAACTTGTGCTGCCAAGGCCTCAGATTTAGATTGAGAAAATAGCCCCCGTTAAGGAGCAATAACATTTAGAGAAGGAGCTTAGGAGACTCTGTTAATAGGACTCACTTAAAATTCATAGTTGCTATGCAAAATAAATCAGCGGTTTCCTGTGTGGGGGCAGTGGGTAAGGGAATGATGATGTGGGGAACGAGGGAGAGGGCGGGGCTGCCTGTGAATAAGAGATGAGGTTTAAACGTTGGCAGTTCCAAGTCTGACACACACACAAAACTACACTGACATTCATGCAACTCTACACGTGCACACATTAACACATGCAAGCAACACAGCTCTTTTGATTTTTGCTGGCTGCCTTAAAAAAGGAAATGTACTCTAGGGGGAAAAAAGACAAAGAAAAATGTTGAATGAGTGAATGTTTTGTGTGTGGTTGGGGGTTGTGCGTTTGTTCTTGTGTGTATACAGTATGTGCTTATGTCCCCTTGTGATTTTTTTAATGTCAAAATGAAGAAGCATTTCCTGATAGATATAATTTCTTGGCTGGTATTGTTCTCAATAACTTACCACAGACACACAGTTATACCGTTCATCCATTCTTCCATCTTTTCTGCAAGCTGTAGAAGATAGTAATGAGCTGAAGTTGGCCTCTACTGACTATGGAAAGGTAAACTAAATCTATCAGAAATTGCTGTCATTGTTGAAAGCTTCATTTAACAGACAATTGTATTTAGGAGGCATTTGAATATTTCTATGGCATTTAGGAAATATCTAAATCTAACTGGCAAAGGTCAATAGAGCTCCGCTGTTCAATCTAAAAATGGCCCATACTGTGCAAAGAGAGACTGCATGCAGGCAATAAGCTCACAGACTGTGGCTAAGAGGTCACACTTTAGTCACTGTGGATAATAGATGCGTTATATGTCACATTTGCAAGCAAGATATGGTTGATACTGATACAACACTAACAGAAATATGCTGGATTTTCTACTTTTCACTTACACCTGCCTGCATGGTCCTTGTCATAAATAGCACGTGGAACCGGGCATCCAATTTTTCCTGGAAGCAGCTAAATATGGACTGTGTCCATTCTGAGAAAAATTCATGCCAAAGACCTCAGCTGTGTTTCTAAACACAGGGTAACACATGCCTTACGCTTGGCAAATTCCAATTTGTTTTTGTTTTTAAATATAATAGAGAATTACATCAATTGACACCAGCATCTTAAAGTAACCCTGGAGCCCATGTGGCACTATGGATCAAAGTTGAATCTTGTTTTTTCGTGCAATGCCATCTGATGGCTCAAAAAGTCACATTCCAGCTGTAGTTTCCATTTGTGGTTGTGATGCAGCCATTTCACCAGCCTCTCTGAATCTTTTCAGAAGGTTTTCAGTACGTATTTAGCTTAAAAGCCATACTCGAAAGTTTTTCTGAATAAAGTTAGAATTTTTGTGTTTGTTTTGTCTGTTAGTAATTTATTATTTTGCTTTATGTAGTATCCACGAACAAATGTATTCGTTTGCACTGCTGATAAAAAACTGCAGCATTTTTTAAGCGGGATGAGGTTCAGCGCGTCAGGGTTATTCAAACATCATCAGGCAAATTGCTGCTCATACAAGTACAGGATAATAAATGGTTAATTATTATAATTATAACTTCAAGTAGCATAATTGACCTATGATTTTCTAACCTTCCTAACATTTTTAGTATTATCAGTTGGTACCACACCAGTGGCTGTTTTAAACGCAAAACAAATGTGTCACCTAGAAGAGGCATGTTTGTCTATCTTTTGGGCTTTTTCTGTTGTGGTGCACTGCATTTGATTTAGTTTTTACAGAATTGTTATACAGGCACTCCTCTTTTTTTATATAATTGTGTATAGATACACACTGCAAGGCCAGCATCACCGATTTTGTCTTGATTTGTGCACTTCCGAATGGGAATATGTGTGTGTGTCTTTGTCCTAGCCTGTGTTTGAAATGTGCAAGTTTGAAAGCGTATGAGCCTGTGTGAAACAACAGTACGGCCAGCGGACTTGTCTGCTGTGTATGAATAATCAAAGTGGTCTCTCTCATCATTAAATCATGGCTGTCCTGGTGGGAGCCTGAGGAGCGAGATAGAAGGAGTGAGTAAGGGATCATAGTTAGCGCTGCAGGGGTACATGCTCTTTCCTTCTCCTCCATCGTGTACTGTGGCTGAGATGTGTCATAAGCACAAGTCTTTTCTGCTCTCTGCTCTCGCCCACTTAGCTCCCTTCAGACACAGCCACTCATACACACACACTCATACATATGCACGTACGGTAAAACACTCCTGCTCTCAGTTATGTTATTCACAGAGTGTACAGACATCCACACACGGACTCAGACACACATACTGCATCTCTGCTTGAAGACAAAGACCTCCAACCACAACAATCTGCCACATGCAGCTGCCATCACTGTCCTGTTTAGTGACACAGTGTTCACCACAGTATACCTACTGTTCGTATGTCAGAAACCTTGTGATAAATATCATATTCTAAAACATACCAAGTGGAATATACAAATTGCATCACAGCTTGTCATTTGAAAAAAATGTAACAGCAGATTAGCTGTTTAAGATGCTCTGGTAAATTATTTTAGAGTAATAAATAGAGTAGAGTAGTAAGTAATGTAGGTTGAGTCACTTCTGCAGTTCCAAACCCACAGTTATCACAGACAGTGGGTTTTATATTTTCTTATAATAACTTGTACCCTTTTCTGTTTTTTTTGTTAGTTTTTTGTTAAAAACACATCACATTGCCTTTTGTATAGCAGATTATTGGAGATGCAGAGAATATAATTATGAAAATCAGAAAAGATCCAATGGATAAAAACCTTGAATCTGAGTCTGATCACTTCATTTTCAGTCACCAAAGGATACTTTCAATCGGAACATCCCAAAATACATTTGGAGTGATTAGAACACGTCTGAAACCAGAGCAACAAAACAAGTTACATAGTGTTAAACACAATGTGCTGCATAGTCCCATAATGCTATGGCAAGCCATTTTACCACCATGTCAGAACAGCCTGAGGCTGACTTTTGAGTCATCCAGGTATTTTACTGCAGCAGCACATCATCAGCTGTCAGTGAGAAATGCAGTATAGAGACATTCTTTCTGTTTCATGGCATTTCCTGCATTATTCACAGCAGCATCGGCCATTGTTTCTGCTCATAACAACACTGCACAAATGCTTTACTGGGCGAGAATTCACTAAAACGCCACACAAGAGCAAGGCCACACACAAGAAATCAATTCTTATTGTGACGTCTAAGATTAAAATATCTGTTGACATTGATGAAGATTAAAATTTTTATTGTGTCTGTTCAAACTGTGCAATATAATATAATCTTATTCAGCAGCATCTCAGTTTATACTTCATTAAGCTGTAAAATGCTGAGAACATTTTAATGTTGAGAAGTAGACAGAATAAGACAGAATGGGAAAAAGCTCAGAGCATGTGAGCAGTGTGATTAAAGATTATGGACGAGGCACATTCGCGACATGCACTTATTCTACTGAATTACACACACTGGCATATGTGTTGCTAATGAGCCCGGTGTGCCGTTACAGCATAGACTCAAACCTGCTCTGCACTCAGATGGGAGTTCATGTAGGAGTCATGGCTTTTTCTCAGTTGCTCTTCCTCATCATGAGAAAGCAGCATGTCATCATTCTCTGCCATAATCAAAGCAAGCACAGGTTCACCTGAAGGGCTCCTTCTCCATTTCTAAGTATTGGGGGGAGACATGCAGAGTTCATGATAGTCCCCAGAGTGTTTAAGCTGTCACAACTGTCACTATTTTTTTTTTTAGTGACAAGAAACACAAGCACAAGACAAGAAACGCTGTGAATGTTTTGGTTTTGATTAAACTTTTAAAATATTTCCACTGTACCATCACTAGTAATGTGCACAATCCGACTGCAATTCTTTATTTAAGTTTATCTGTAGTATTTTTTTTTTTGAAAATCTTCAATCATTACTCTCATAACTCTAATTATGTCCAGTCCAGAATTTTCCTCTGATTGTTTTTTTTTTGTTTTCATTCTCACTACCCATCCAGTCCCAGCCATGATTACCTCCTACCCAAACACCACTCTGGCCACGCAGGGCGAGGAAAAGAGGATGAGCTGCATAGCTCGCGGGGAAAAACCCATTATGGTGCGCTGGGAGAAAGAGGAGCGCATCATCAACCCTGAGACCAGCCGATATGTAGTCACTGTCAAAGAAGTGGCAGACGAAGTCATCTCTACCTTGGTGGTGAGTGTTTCATTCCTACAAAAATAGAAAAAAAAATTTTTGAGTGAGCGTCAACTCTATTCTATTCAGATGGGAAAAAAGAAGGTAATAAGACTGTGCCAATAAGCCCTTCATTTTATACAAACTCAAGAAATGCACATCAAAAGAAAATGTATTAATCGAAGGCTAAACTCTTTGATATTTTTCAAAGCAAACAACATATACCTTTTTTATTAAATGGGATGAAACAAAAAAATAGTTTTTTAACTCATTGTTCAATAGATCCACTCACATGAAAGCCTTGATTATGGTGCATTTTTCTGCAGATCATGCCGACTGTACGTGAGGACTCTGGGTTCTTTTCCTGTCATGCCATCAACTCTTTCGGTGAGGACAGAGGCATCATACAGCTGACGGTACAAGGTAAGACTCCGACTCTGCTCAGGAAGACTGTCTTTAAGGGATTTAAACTGAATTAGTTAAAATGATGATGATAAATCATATATTCTCTTAGAACTTTGTTATGTTATGAATTAAATGAATTTCTTTATGTTTGAACAAAAGACATGCTTAGATCTGACTCTGTTCACATCTCTTCAGAACCACCTGATCCACCTGAGGTAGAAATCCGGGAGGTTAAGGACCGCACCATAGCTCTTCGCTGGACTATGGGCTTTGATGGCAACAGCCCCATCACAGGATATGATATTGAGTGCAAAAACAAATCAGGTAGACACATATATTTATTTGGGGCCACAATATGTGTCAAATAGAGGAAACAATAAATACACAGTCGTCTTACTTGTTTTCTAACGATCCGCTCAACTTTTTCCTACTTTCTTTCCTCTAGCCTCGTGGTTATCAGCGCAGGTAACCAAAGATGTATCACCACAGCTCAACCAGGCCACCATTATTGACCTCCACCCTTCGTCTACTTACAACATCCGCATGGTTGCCAAGAATATTATCGGTAACAGCAACCCCAGTAATGAACTCACCATCACGACAGATGAAGCAGGTTAGTGAGCATGACCCACCCATGAACTGTTTATGAAAGACATGTGAAGCCACAAGCTCTAAAACATGAAACCAGGGAGGGAATATATTTAACCTCAGTTGCGATGCAAGTTGAATTTTGATAAAAAGGATGTTGATGTGACTTACGATATTCATTCCATGTAATTATCGCTAATCACATTGAAAAGAAAATAAGATAAAACCTTTAACATCAGTAAACATGTTACCTGTGGCAGAAAACAAATCTGTTCTGCCAGTGTTTGAGAGTATGGTCTGAATGGATGAAGGCGTTGCTGTTTTTAATAATTTGTTTGGTGATACAGCAGAGGGCGCTCGATTATCAGCCTGATCCACAACATGCCCTGGTAAACGCTCAGTTAAATACGCTGATTTTTTGTGGTCAGAGTAAAAATGGAAGAAAAAGTAGTGAGCAAAATGAGTGAGCAAAGTAATCAGAAAGGGACACAAAATAAGTAGAAACTTCCTCTTTTGGAGTATTTTGGATTTTGCACCGTAAATGGTATTGTGACTAACAGCCAAAACACTGACTATCACGTTTGTCCAAAGAAGCTGGTGCACTTTCAACAGATATGCAGATTAACTTACTGTCTTGCCACCAAAATGAAGTTCTGGAATCTACATATGAGCTCTGCAACATCTGACTGCACGCTATTTTTTACAAATAGGTACAAAAGGTCATCAGAGGCTTATGAAAAAAATTAGACATGATACCAGGAAAAAGTGAACAACAAGTGAATATAATTGGAAAACGTGACAGCCCAGTCAGATATCAAGAATCACCACCCTGGACATCCATATTTAATTTTTGCCTGACAATGCCAGGCGATGAAATTGTCTTTACTGGACAGAAATTAATTTCCCCTCCCTTCAAATGTTCGCATGTCACTATCTTAAGTTCTTTTTGTACTTGGAAAGAACATCGAGTCATCTAACAAATAGAAAAGTACTAGTTGTGTTAAAGTGGGGCTGTAATCTATTATAAATTGGGAGACAAATCAGAGCACTATGGCTCTAACGGTGTTCACTTATCCTCAATTTCATTTAATGATCTCCCCTGAGGCATTTTACTACATTGAAATGGCACTTACAATGTGACGTATTGCCAATATAAAGTATTACATTTCTTCTATCTTTTCTCACATAGTATAAAGGGAAAATTGATTATGTTACAAGTTTTATTTTAATTGATCTTAAGTCAAGGTGAAAGCTCAGAGGTGCATAAAAGGAGCAAGAACAAGGAAGTCCCATTCCCAGCTCAACAGCATCATCTAGTGGGAGATGGTAGATATCCTGTCCCATTTCAAATACAGATACGCGGTCAAAATAAACAATGTGCCTCATCTACAGCCCCTGATGGCCCTCCACAAGATGTCACTCTTGAGTCAACATCGCCTCAAAGCATCAAAGTTTCCTGGAAGGTGAGTTAAATGTTGTCATCCAAGGCATTTAAACAGATCCTTTTGTTGTACATTTGTCAATGAATTATTTAGTATACTGTATATATATATGTATATGGGGAAATTGTAAGGTAATTCTATTTTGTATGTATAAGACAAAAAGCATCCATCAGGAAACATATAGTGTTCTTGTCACATCATCTGAAATTGAGTGTTTTATTGAGTATTTTATTTGTTTTTGAGTATTTTACTTGATGTGACTAAATATATGGCAGGAATAGGTGTCACACCATGTATCTACTACTCCTTGTTTCTTTTGTAGCCTCCCCAGAAGCACCTACAGAATGGTGTGATTCGGGGGTACCAAGTAGGGTACAGGGAGTACAGCCCCGGTGGGAGCCACCAGTTTAGTATACTCCCCGTGGAAACGACAGGAGACACCACAGAAAGCATCGTGTTGGACAATCTGAAGAAGTTCACTCAGTACAGTGTGGTGGTCCAGGCTTCAAACAGAGCCGGCACCGGGCCATCTTCACAGCAGGTGGTCACCAAGACTCTGGAAGATGGTGAGCGGGGGATGTGGGCGGCGTACACTTTTAATGCCTTGCGTTTAGTTTTCCTGGGTATTACTCAGGCTTGTGTTCTTTACATGCAGATCCCATGCAGTCTAAGTTATGAATGTGATCTTGATGTCCACCCACTCCTCATCTCTTTTGAGTGTGTGCCTCAGCTGTGATTCTCAGTTGAGCTCATACCAGTTCTTAAGGGAAATACTCCATCTGCTGGATGTTTTCTTAACTACAGTACCACACCCACAGCTAATGAAGCTGTATTATCATTATCCTACTGCTTACAAAGTCCGAAAGATTGAAGGTTTTATCTCCCACATTTACTCAAACAGTTGTTTTCTAAACTAAAAAAGAAAAATTAATCATTTTTACTAGATCTTTACCTTACTTTTTACTATGTAGATACCTTACTTTTTAAACAAATTGCAACCAAATCGCTGAAATTTAGAGCAAGTTTTTACTGCTTGTTCCGGATTAGTTAAGATTAATTTTCTTTTTTGATAAGAATGGTGCAAAGGCCTACAAAGGAGAGCACAGTTCATGCTGTCTAAAAAATCCATTACTTATTATATCCGAATCAGGACTTGTATGAAAGTATCAATTTTGAGCACAAAATTAAAGAAGCAGTAATGTGTCTCAGTTCCCGGCATCAGTCTAGCACCACTGCTAGGAGAGTACATCTCCTAGCAGTGGTTTTTACTGTCACTCAAAATATTTGTCTCTTTTATCTTTGATAGTACCATCTCGGCCTCCTGAAAATGTCCTGGCTGTGGCCAAGTCCCCAGAGGTAATTTCACTGTCCTGGATGCCTCTACCAAGGGATGCTCTCAATGGAAACCTGCAGGGCTACAGGGTCATCTACTGGGCTAACTTGCCTGATGGAGGTACATTCTTACACAGTCTCTGATATTATACTATGATTAAGACGATTTTCTTATGAAAGAATACTCAGTTTAAGACCACACTTTACCAATCACTTTAGCTGTTTAGCTGTTGCTATGTTGATGTTATTTATTTCATACATCCACTAGGGGATGCTGTGTTTTTCTCATAAATAATATTGGAGAGGTTGCTTCCAGTTATGGTTCTTTCACTATTCAGTGTTAGGTACATATTACTCATCTAGCTTGTGAGCAGTATATGACACTGATTAAATTACATTTTTTGTGCAATATATATATGAATTATGTGCCCAATCAATATAGGAAAATGTTGCACTGTATGATATATCATCTGTCTAAGCATTTCCTCAGATCATTGAATTAATAGATTATTTCTTATTATATATGTATACTTACTGAAATATATAAATTGTATACATTGGTATATTTGTTTGCTCTTATATTTTGTTTTTCATATGTATGACAGAGTAGTAGGATTCAGCAAGCAGTGTGACTAATCTCCATCAATAATTCAAACTGCAGAATCTTGAGACATTGCTTCAGCTTTAACAGACGGAATCTAACAATTTAAGGGGAGAGGAGATGAGATGTATGAGATAAACATACATCATTATGCAGAAAAGGTCCCACCGCACACTCTAGACCTTCTAATCTTGTTCCCTTGGTAGACCTTCTGTTAATATTCATAACAATTCCACAATGTGGCGACATATTATGCTGTGTGCAGGCTTTGATATCCATATTTTAACATATTTTCTTCCCTGGCAGAACTGGGAGAAATTAGAAATGTTACCACCAACCAGCCATCTCTAGAACTGGACGGTTTGGAAAAGTACACCAACTACAGCATTCAGGTCTTGGCTTTTACAAATGCCGGAGATGGTGTCCGCAGTGAACAGATCTATGTTCGCACAAAAGAGGATGGTATGAGAAAAATTGCATGACATTACAAATTACATGTGTGCAGTTGCTTTTAGAGGATGGAGTTTATTGGTGTTTTTTGTTCTTCTGTATTTTTCTCTATAGTTCCTGGTCCTCCAGCAGGGGTGAAGGCCGTAGCCTCTAGCAGCTCAGCCGTTTTCGTCTCCTGGCTGCCTCCACTCAAACTCAACGGCATCATCAGGAAATACATCGTCTTCTGCTCTAACCTGCATCCGATGGTGATAGCATTTGTATACCACAAGATCTTCTTCATACTTTCCTTCTGTTGTGTCAAAGCTGATCTAGCAGCTTTGACTTTGTTTCGCTCAAAAATAAGATGGCCCCATTCAGCACTGGTATGCTGGTCAGTGATACATTAATCTTTATTGTCTCTGTGTTTTGCAGGTGATGAGCGAATTTGAGGCTTCTCCAGATGTATATTTCTACAGGATCCCAAACTTGGCTCGAAACAGGCAGTATAGTGTCTGGGTGGTGGCTGTGACGGCTGCTGGTCATGGCAACAAGAGTGAGAAGATCACAGTGGAGCCTTTGTCCAAAGGTTAAAAATCCTCTAGTTTCCCTAGTCCCATTGTGCTCTTGAGAAATAACCACATTTTTTAAATTAAACTAAAAGTTTTCTTCAGTAATCTAGTTTTTTTCAGACCATCATGTCTCACTTTAATAGCATTTGGTAACTACTTTGGATCTTTAAGGTGACGTTTTGTGCATGTGTGCTTCTCTCAGCTCCAGCCAGGATCCTGACATTCAATGGCACAGTTACCACTCCCTGGATGAAGGACATTGTTTTACCATGCAAAGCGGTTGGGGATCCTCCTCCTACCATCAAGTGGCTCAAGGGAAAGTAAGTTGCACCGTAATGTACCTCACCCAAGGCACCACATGAAACTACCCCAAAAATTTAGGACTGTCCTGTCTCTCTCCAGCACAAACGGGACTCCCACACCTGTTGTGGTGGACGGTCGACGTAGTGCCCATGGCAATGGCAGTTTCATCATCCGTACAGTGAAAGCTGAGGACTCTGGGAATTACAGCTGTGTGGCCGGCAACAGCTGGGGATCAGATGAGATCACACTTAACCTGCAGGTTCAAGGCATGTAGTCACCTCAACAGAGATATTTGGTTACCAAGTCATTTTTAAAATGTTTCGAAAAGTGATTCACTGGTTCACCTGTTTTTTTAAACTAACATTAATAGTTGAACGGTCAAAACCCAAAAAGGATATTGTTTGGTCAGTAACTGAGACTCCGTGTGACAATCGGAGTGCCCAGAGCTCACAAGGAATCAAGATTTACTAAATAAATTAGGAGCAAAGCCAACATATTCCAAAAGAAAAAAAATCTGATTAAGGTTTTTCAAGAATTAAAAAAGAGCATTAATAAATTAACACATAGATATACCAGTTCAGTCAGATTAAACACAAAAAAGAATATATTAGAATGTAGAATATCTGAAACAATTGCTCAATTACAACAAAGCTAAATTCAAATACACAAATACAGGCTGATTAAAACATTTCTGAACTCAAACCTCACATTCATAAAATTTTCCATGACATATCAAGTCAATAGACTTTCAGCCAATCAAAGTGACGAAGTTGGACCGTAAGAAAATAATAAACACAAATGACAAAAGATTTTTCTAGACGACAGTCATGGTGCCTGAAATGAGGGAAGACAAAAGGTAGTCTCACACAAATAAAACAGGTTTAATCTTTTATGACCTTTTGGTCCACAGTCCCACCTGACCAGCCACGCCTCACAGTTACCAAGACAACCACCACATCAATTACTTTGTCATGGATACCTGGAGACAACGGAGGGAGCTCCATCAGAGGTGAGAATGTCAGCACACTTGTAGAGACAAAAAATGAATCATTAAAGTGGATGCTACGATCAAAGCTGGAAGTGATGGAAACATGTGCATTAGTTTCATCCATATCATCATGTAAACGGCTTCCACATCTTGTTTAAGATGTCACCTTCTCCTCCACTCATGTCTACAACTTCTGTTCTTGTACTTTTGCCTCATTATATGCAGGTAGTGTACAATTGTTAAGTCCTAAGAGCTAGATTAAAAATGCAACAAGGAAGACTATGTCTGTTTAAGTGAAAGATTAAAGCAGTCCATCTTGCAGAAAGTCCAATCACAGTAAAATATCACAGTGATTTATTGTTGCTCCTAATCAAGAGGCTCCAGTCTTCAGAGCTGTACCTGCCAAGGAGGTTTCCTCTGTGGTATTTGTTTTTGCTTACCCAGCTACAGCGTCATCCATCACTGAAATACAAACACCTGGGCTAACCACTGTCTTTTTGCTGCCTTGCTTGTAGCATGCTTGAATGATGGCAGTTATGGTCTACTGGTCTCTCGCCCCTCTGACATTCACCATCTATCATCACCTCTCAATTATTCATTCATTCATTATTTTGTAGCATTCAAGTAACATGATTTTTTCTTTATTTGTGCCTCTCCGATCATCTGCCTTCCAGGTTACATCTTGCAGTACTCAGAAGACAACAGTGAGCAGTGGGGCAGTTTTCCCATCAGCCCCAGTGAGCGCTCATACCGTCTGGAGAACTTAAAGTGTGGCACTTGGTACAAATTCACCCTGACGGCCCAAAATGCAGTAGGACCAGGACGCATCAGTGAGATCATTGAGGCTAAGACCCATGGGAAAGGTAAAGAGTTCAACACATGGCGCATTAGAATCATCCATCCATCCCTTTTCTGAACCGCTTATTCCCTAATGGGGTCGTGGGGGGACTGGAGCCTAACCCAGTAGTCGCATGAGAATCATTTTGATTCTATTTTGCAATTTGAGCGCCAGAATTAACACTATCTAGTGATGTGATGAGAGTTCCTCTGTTATGTGAACAGCTTGTCTTGTTATGGATAACATAATTACATCATTGGATCTAAGGCAAGATTACTTTTTAAGTAGTGGGGAGAAAGCATCAAATCTCAATAAAGTAAAAGGAAGATTTACTATTGACTGTTGTAGATGTTATCTTGTTGATACCCAGTTAACAGCTTCTGATGCATCTCCTCCTTTCAGAACCCCAGTTTGCCAAAGAACATGAACTCTTCACCAGCATCAACTCCACCAGGGCTAGGCTCAACCTTGTTGGCTGGAACAACGGGGGTTGTCCAATCACGTCATTCATACTAGAGTACAAAGCAGTGGACTCAGCCACCTGGACCACAACCCAGCGCACGACGCCGATCAAAAGCTACATACTGTACGATTTGCAGGAGTCGACCTGGTACGAACTGCAGATGAAGGTCACCAACAGCGCCGGCTCAGCAGAAAAGCGGGTCACCTTCGCTACTCTCAATGCTGATGGAAGTGAGTTGGGAGTAAACGGACTCTACCATTATAGAATAGATAAGACCTATCATCAACAATCTAAGAACTTATAATTTTGGTCAGATGTTTAAAGAAAAAAATCTGAATGCGAATTATGTGTTTTCCGGTCAACAAAAAATGTAACAGAACCAAAAAATAGCAATTCCATTTTTCTCCCCCTTTAACAACAAGGATAACAGTCATACATGAATATCAAGAGATCATTTTACATATCCTGGAAAACCCTAATGAGGAGAGATGGGGAAGATTAATTCAACTTCTTTAGTTGCATCTTGAATTAATCTTTATAACACATTTAAAAACAGCAACTGTTGACCAAGGATGAAATGAAATTAAATGAAATTTATTCGAACATGATACAAATATAAAAATAAAATAGTGCACAGTAGCAAGACGTGCATCAGAAAGAAGAGAAAATACAGGATGTTTAGACTCAGTAGGCAATGATAAAAGACAACGAGCAAAGATGTCAGGACTCAACTCGAAATGGAAAAGCTGGGTCTTGACCAAAGACTAAAGATAACAATAGGCTGAATCTATTAGAGTAAATCATTATCACAATTTCATTGTACCTGTGTATAATTCATACTGTGGAACAGTTCAAGCCCAAAATGGCAGACCTGGGGGTCCAATTAAAGTTCTGTGATGTTCTGCTCAGATAAGTGGTGCTGACAACAGTATTAGTGTTACTGTATGGCATTGCTGTCTACAGCTAGTCTTTAAACTTGTTGGCAAGTTTTCAGGTTCAGCTCAGCAAATACACAACAACGGACTTCAGATTTTCTGTGGCCATGGTCAAGCTCTACCGTAAAAAGCGTAGTGTGTCAGTCATACACATCAAGAAAAAGAAATCTGTGAGATTCTGGAGCAGCTAATATTTCTAAATTGTACTAAAGTGCATTGCTCATTTCTGTGGGCAGGGTATATGAAATTTGTAAGATGAATGTTAGTGTGACTGCATGTGTGGCCTGTCAGTTTGACAGTAAATAAGTAGCTCAGCTTCTTAAACTAGCAAATAAAAACAATTGAGATTACTCAGGCGAATTCAAAGATGTTTTCCGACTTTCAAACGTAGAAGAAAAAGATTAGGACATTTTAACCAACCTAAAAGGGATTAAATATCTATTCACTGTGAATTACAAACAGTATCATTAGTGGAAACTAATATAAGCCTGCAAGCCTATTAATTTTGTTGTCATCACAGCACCACCAGATAACTGTAGCACGATCCAGAAACCATATGATAAAATAATCATCTATATAATCATCTATATCATCTGAGCACCAAATAATGTTCTAAATACAAAAAAACATGCATTTAGTAAATCAATTGCCAATTTTTCTAATCCTAATAATATTTCTGTCTCCACAAATCTTTGTCTGTCAAAATCATAAACTTTTTGTAACCTCAGTTTAAAGTAAAGAAAATCAAAGAAATGTAAGAAAATGGTGTGACAATCCTGGAAAGACTGAAATATCTTGATTGCCTCCAAGGTACCATCCCCCCACTGCTGAAAACCGGAGATCCCATCTCAGACAACATGTCAGGCAGCGGAGGTCTGAAAATGGTGGTGACCATCACCTCTATTCTCGTGGTGGCTGTGCTGGTTTTTATTATGTTAATGGTGCTAAAGAGGAGAAGGAGGGAGCAAAGGCTCAAGAGACTCAGAGGTGGGTTTATTTTGGATTATATATGTAAAAAATACATTCAGTGTAACTAGTGTTATATCACACAGAAATTAGAGATCAGGTTTTTTTTATGTTTAAGAAAATCTGAAAAGGTTAAACTGCATTAAATCTGTGACCAAAGCTAAAATGATCTATATCCTTGATAAACTTCAGCAGGCGTCTGTGTCTGTGGTGCTTTGCTTGACTTTTTATGAAAGAAATTGTCAGGGTTTGCAGTGTGTTTTCACTGCTTCCAAGCTCAGGTGGGACTGATATCATTTTAACTCCCTCTTTGCTGACTTCACAGATGCCAAAAGTCTGGCAGAAATGCTGATGAGGTATGTACTTTTAATTTCAATTTGTGCATGGTCTTTTCCTTTTAGCTGCAGTATAAATCACAACATGGCCAATAGTTACAGCGCCTGTCAGTAAAAATAAAACATAGTGCTTTGATTTTTTTTTCCTTCATGTTTGCTACTTATCAGCTTGAGTGCTCTAGTGGAACTGAATAAGCATTTCTGCAATACAATGTAAAGTCATATAGCTTAAAAGTATGGACATTTTCTTATTTACCTCCTCAGCAAGAACACACGGACGCCAGATACGGTGAACAAGCAGCAGCAGACTTTAAGAATGCACATCGACATCCCCAGAGCCCAGCTCCTCATCGAAGAGAGGGATACCATGGAGACAATCGGTAAGGTGCTCACAGCCAGAGTCACATTAAGTCACAGCATTTACAATACTTATGTTGTACTCCATTCTTTTTTACTCTTAGATGACAGATCAACTGTGCTGCTGACAGACAATGACTTTGGGGAGACCAACAAGCAGAAGTCTTCCACAGTAACCCACACAGTCCACTACCAGTCTCTGTCCCAGGCCACTGGCCCACTGGTAGACGTGTCCGATGCCAGGCCTGGAACCAGTGAGTCCCATCACCGTCAGTGATCAACATTTCTTTCCTTTTTACTAACAAAAATGTTATTTTCTAGATCTGTGTTACTAATCAAAAAGAACTGTCTTTTGGATGAATCTCTGACTTTATATTGTTTAGGTGTTTTACAGCTGTCAACGTTTAACGGCTAAATGCTTTGTCTTATTTCAAGTTTTAATTTAAAAAGAATCTAGTCTTGCTTTGTTTAAACCTTGCACAACCCATTTGCAGTACACTGGCCCTCTTTTCAGGTTAGAACTCCAATAACAGAGCTGCTGCTTGGTTAGCCATGTTTCAGCTCCACTGAAGCTGAACTGATGAAGGGCTGTGATCTTTGCTTATGCTGCTTGCACTTTCTCTGCTTCTATTTTTTCATTTCTGATGTTAGACTAGGTAAACAATTCATTTGCAGTAACTATGAACTATTTTAGTTGTACAATTGGCTAATTATTGCCTGAAAAAACTAACACACCTGTAAATTCATTCCAATACTTTTCACAGAGCATGGTCTCAACATGACCATCACCACAGTGGTCCAACATGCACATACACAGCCACCAGCCCAACATTCATCATAGTGGCACACACACATCTGAAGGGTCACATGATTAGTTTGTTTAACCTGAGCGCTAGGGCATAAACTTGAATTGCTGAGTTGGCTCTTTTTTTCCGCCAGTTAGCCAACAGCTTCCATCATTTCATCATTTCATCCTCGCTGATTGAATTACTGTCTGACCCACTACAATTACCATGACCATTCATCTCTGGTTAGATCCATTTCAGGCCTTTTCTGGCACACAGAGCAGCAGCAGCTTGTCTGGGTCAGGCTGAATATGATACTATTTGTGTACACCAATCTGCCATAACATTAGAACCAGCCACCTGATATTGAGTTAGTCCTCCTCAGATGGTCCACTGACTGGTCCTTCAGAGTGTCCATCCAGGGGTGGCTGGAACTGATGCTATGACACATTTCAGTATTCTCGGCTGTGGGGTTGAGCCAGCTGTTGCCGACAGAAACCTTTTACCAGTAAAGCAAAAATACCTACTATATAAAAGTGCCGAAGTGTCGTTTAGGCAGAAGAGTTAACCACTTGTAAAGTCACCACTTGACCTCTAAACCCCTTTCATTTATCAATATTTCTGTTCTGTCCTTTGCTAAGGCTAAAATTGGATTCTACCAGTGCAAAACTTTCAATATATTGTTTTAATCAATACCTGAAATTTGTAAATGCATGTCACTGAAACGCAGGAACTTTAAAATGTCAAAATGTTAAGTGACATTTTTTTTTAAAGTACCCAGTTTCAACTGAAATAAAGAGAAAGAAAATTTAGCATTTTGTGCCTCCTCTTTACTAGATCCTACTGCCAGACGCACTGCCAAAGCTGGTCCTGCCGCAGCACGGAGCCGCTATGCCAGCCAGTGGACTCTGAACCGGCCACATCCCACCAGCTCCTCACACACCCTGACCACCGACTGGAGACTCCCCACACCGCGTGCCACTGGATCTGTGGACAAAGAGAGTGACAGCTACAGTGTCAGCCCCTCACAAGATACAGGTAGAGTAGAGAAAAGTGGACAGAGCTACCCGGGAACAACATGTACACACAGCATTTTTTTCTCAAGGTTAAGATTTGGAACAAGATTTGCAACAGCATGATGAGAATGTATGAAGAGAAAGTGTGGTTTTGATGCTGGAGTCTTTACATATTTATACATTATTATTATTCATTATTTTTGGCTGCTCTTTTTCGATTACCGATTGCAATTTTATGATGTCGTCTTGGCTAAGATTTACAGACCATGAATCCAGCTCATACCAATATACCTCACAGTTATTTATACCACATTTTGTTGTCCACTCACAGAGCATTAAAAGAATATCTCTCCAAATCATGCAAAACCTACAACCAAAAAAACATATTTGAAAGTACCCTGGACGACAGAAAATAGATAAATAAATAGTGCCCGGTACCACAGTGTGATCCTCATTAATTAAACCTGTGTGTTGCAATGTAATTATCAGATCGTGCGCGGAGCAGTATGGTGTCAACAGAGAGTGCGTCCTCCACCTATGAGGAACTGGCCAGAGCCTACGAGCATGCCAAGATGGAGGAGCAACTCCGCCATGCCAAGTTCACCATCACTGAGTGCTTCATCTCTGACACTTCATCCGAGCAGATGACCGCAGGGACCAATGACTACACGGACAGCCTGACCTCCAGCACGCCGTCTGAGTCGGGCATCTGCCGCTTTACAGCTTCTCCACCTAAACCTCAGGATGTCAGTAGGGTTATGACCATGGCCGCGCCCAAGGCGCACAGACCAGGTGAGGAACTGAAGGATTCATACACAAAATACACACAGCTTTTGTTGACAGCAGTATTTTTTTTATTCAGGTAGGTTAGGTTAAAGCACAAGGTAATTTTATTCTTGCTAAAAAATGCTTTGACATTCCATTTCTATAAACTGCATACTTCCACATACTTTCCACGTATGCAGTTTCAGAACATTTTGTGGTGATAGTATGCATTTTTAAGTGAACTAGAATACCCAGGAAGTGTTCTCCTCCAAAAGATGCAGGGTACTTTCAATCGCATGTGTTCAGACTATTCTTAGGGAGTTATTTTTCCAACAATGTTTTTTTTCAAACTATCAGACAATCACTTAGCCCTGTTCTGTTATTTTATTACTAATAACCTTGACCTATTCTGACATATAACAATACATATAGGGTAAGAATATGAAAAAGTAATTTCATTTCGAGTCTTATAGATAAATTATCTACCATGTTGTGTTTGATACCAAACATAACTATTTACCTTTTATTATATTTCACGCAGCTAATGGAAAAGCAAGTATCAACTATTTGGTGACATTGTTCCTTTAAGAAGGAAACCAACCTCAATTGAGCTATGTTCACCTACTGCTCTGGGGTGAATTCTGTCAGCCTTCAAATTCGTGTAATATACAGACAGCCGGCATCTCTTTAAACCATTACAAAGTGCATTAGAACTGTCTTTTTTTATCTGTTTTCAGATGAACTATTGTATCTGCACTTTGATCAGCCTTGACAGGTTTATTAAGCTTCTCCTGAAAAGGAAAAGGGTTTTTCAAAAGCCTCTATGAGATCTGCTCTATTGTCAGAAAAAAAGAAAAACATTTTTTGGTTTGTTTTTCATTTTGAAACTGTATGAAGAACCTGTCTGAAAAGCCTCTCATTGCTGTGCATCTGCTGTCAGGTTGTCTTACCTTACATGACCCTTCTTTGGGTAGCTGCAGATCAGTTACTGGACCTGGCAGAGCATACTGATAGGCTGCTGACCACACACAACGCACAGATGTCTAAACAGCAAGACACCTTTCTCCCTGACACTTGTACACAGCCCATCTATCACCACTGATAATTAGCGATGTTGGTGGTGTCCCGTCTGGGGAGCAGAATTGAAGCTCTGTGCGCCCGCTCGAGAACGAGCCGTCCCAGAATAGTCGGCCCGACCAGATGAGAGGCCATCAGACGGGCTTCTTACATTTCAGGCCTCATTATGTTTTGAACGTTTGTGCATAGGGCGGCAGGCTTGTATCATCCATCTACCGGGGAGAGAGGGCAACTGAAGGCTATCTGTCAACCTGATCTGAAGCTATTGTCACTCAGTACAAAACTTTACTTTGCTGCCACAGTGGAGACCTTTCAGTGTAACACCAGACTCAGTCTTTCAGGCCGGTGTGGAAGCACTGAGTGCAAACCCTGGTGTCATTTACATTAGATACACAATGCATGTCAATGATGAAGCCGATTCCCACTGAAATCATGCAAAGTATTGTTAAAATATAGGTTAAGAAAAAATAAAAGCCACAACGAAATAAGAAAATAACATTGTTTTACAGCAGAGATTGAATCTTTTTAATCTTTATACGTGCAAGTGTTTAGGTCATTTTACTTGAGGAATATACCTTGAACCTTTAAATTAAAAATGACAGTTTGTGGTAGGGCGGCAAGGTGGTGTGGTGGTAGCAACTTCGCCTGACTGGATGAGGATTCCCAGTTCCCAGAAAAACCCCTGCGGGACCAGGAAACCTGAGCCTTTCTGTGTGGAGTTTACGTGTTCTGTTTGCATGTGGTGTTTGCCCCTCCAGGTTCCCCAGCTTCCTCCCACCATCCAAAACTATCCATGTTAGGTTAATTTAACACTCTAAATTGCTTTGAGGAGTAAATGTGTTTGATATACTCCACCTCTTACCCAATCTCATCTTACCCAGTGTCTGCTTAGTAAAATAGTTTTAGCTAATAAATGACTTAAAGCCGAGTTAATGCTATCAACTAATTTATTTCAATTTCATTAACCCTGAAGAGGAGGTTATATTTTTGCTCTATAGATGACTTTTGAAGATGAATAAATGTATACCAAGTTGAGAAATAAAATTTGAGAGTTGCACCAGTCTTCATTCTTAACCTTAGGAAAGAGACTGAATTTATGAGAATGTCATACTGTTCATTTGAGCACATTCTCTCCACACTTGTAAATTCTAAGTAGGGTGTATTTCAGTGGTGAAACCCAGACCCAGTGGGGAGGCCAGTGTGATAGCCTGACAGTGAATGATACAGCTTCAGCTCTATGTTTGTCTCTATTACATCTGAGTGACCCGCACTGACCTCACCTATCTCCTACAAAGGTCAAACGCAGAGGGGGCCGCTTCCTTTTTCATACATCCAGTCTCATCTGATGGATTTTGTCTGCAAGTGACTCTGAATTCATTTTACTTCTCTGCACGCTTTAAAGAAACCCCCTCCGGTTCTTTGTGTTATGTCAGTGAGATCCAAAGACTTGTGAAAATAGTTCAATATAAAAATCATGAAATATTAAAACATGCTGGTGTAAAAACATAGAGCTAATCACGCATTGGACATGTACACAGATTAATGGCTCGGCAGAGAGCCGCTCTTGTATTGTGATCACACATAGTGTCCCATTACTGTACCATCTGCAATTTCCTAACTGATGAGCTTTCAAACTGCATTTCTAATGAGCTCCCACAGAAACACTTAAATCTATATTTAATTCAATTAACACTGCTAGCCATTCATCATGGTTGCTGGCACTAATGGGGCTTATTAAAAAACTCAGTAAACGACTCATTCTCTCTGGGAATCCAGAAATCCATTTCCGAAGGTCACGTATTGGCTCTGCTAAAGGGACCTTGTCTGTGCCTGCATTAGTGTGGAGGATGACTGCGCACATACTGTATGGAATACTTACATTTCTATGCATGTGTGGGCAGTGTATATGTGAATGTGTCAGGATGTGTGGGAGAGAAAACGTGCTGAAGAGGGATTTTAGCAATGAATCTCTCCTTTTAAATGTGAACTGATCTCTGCCCCCCTGAAATATGAATGTTTCATTACTGTTGAAACAATAGGGATGTGAGTCAGTGCATCCAATAGAATCTCACAGCGGTCTGTCACATCTGGATGTCATCTGGTCTGTCACACTGCATGTACTTTTACCCAAAATGATTTATGTAGTTAAATGTGTTGTCACTTCAACAGAAAGATACCGCAGCTGTTTGACTTTGTTCATGTTGCACCAGGCCTTAATGTTTGTTTGGCTTTTTTATTTAGCTTTTTCATGCATGCAGCAGTTAAACCATTTTGTAAGGAAAGGGTCAAATCCAAAGATGAATAAACAGCGATATATGTTATACATTTTCGCTGGTTGCAGGAATATAAAAAGTATCCTCATATTATTTTGTCAACATGGACAGAAAATATATTACGCGAGTCACTGTGTGAGGCCCTGACAAAGATAGCAAAGGTAACATCATGATTTTTAACTTCCACTGCATTGAGTACCATACATTTGTCCTGATAGTAGCAATAAAATCAGATCGATTCCTACTAAGGGAAGATTATATGAATCATAAATGTGGAAAGGCCTAAGGTGAGATGATGTTGCGGCAAATAAGGGAGTTAAGATATGGATTAACATTTTATTTTCAATTAACTCAAACAAAGGAAAAATGTGATTGAAGCTTATTGAAACCGAGTTAAGCCATGCTTAGAGCACATAGTGCACACACAGAGAAGATTTTATAGAGCCGCTACACTCAAAGGGCAGCATGGAAACAGGGTGTTCACCAATCAGTCGTCTGTTTTTAAACTAACCTTTACATTTGACCGAAAGCTTTAAATTACTGAGGCAAAATAGTCTAAAGTAAACAGGTCCAGTCTGTCTCAAAAATGACAGGTTGCACTTTACGTCAGATCTAACATTTATAAGAGAGTGGTTTCACTCTCCTTTGAGTCTTCTTGTTCAACATTCAACTAACTTGTACATGTACATTCACATTTACCTACACACAAACAATCATGAGCTAAACTAATCCATCAATATGTGGTCCTTTTACTCCAACAGTGTGCCACAATCTGAGTGGAAACTCAGTAAATTAACAAATGTTAATTTGTCTCGCAGGAGGAGAGTTGGTCCATTTGCCGCCCTACCTCCGTATGGACTTCCTGTTGAACCGTGGCGTGCCTCTGCCAGCTCGAGGGGGGGGGGGTCAGCAGCAGTAGGGGCGGCGGCGGGGGGGGGGCGGCGGGGGGGGGGGGAGGGGGTGCTGCTGGAGCAGGTGGAGCTGGTGCCAATGCTACAGGTGAAACCAGAGGAGGTGGAGGAGCCATGGGCCAAGCCTGCCTTGAACCCCAGCGGAGCCGTACCTTAAAGAGGCCACCCCCTATGGAGCCCACCCCCATGGAAGTGCCCTCTCCCAGGGAGGTGCAGCAGTGGCAACCAGGAACTGCCTCCACCCTCCCGCACAGGGATGTCCGGGAGAGGGGAGAGGCCCGAGGTGAGGTCCGCGGAGGGGTCACGTCCTCAGGAGATCTAGCCCAAGCACAGGCTGCCAAGCTCAGCACTTCACAGGAGTCACTGCTGGACTCCAGAGGACACCTGAAACAGAGCAACAACCCCTATGCCAAGTCTTACACTCTGGTATAACACTGGGACACACCAGACTGCTACACCCGAGGGGGCAAGAGCAGACACAATGGAAGAAGAGGGACAGGAGACAGACGACAGGCACAGGATGGACAGATTTCCACAACAGAAATTGTTGTATATAGAGCCATTTCTGACATGCGTCTGAAGTGGATGCTTTTCTTTGAGTCTTTCTTTCTTTCTTTCTTTCTTCTTCTTTCTTTCTTTCACTCTTTTCTTTCCTTCTTCTCTTGCTCTTCTCTGTTGCTTTCACACTTTCATTCTCTCACAGTTTGCTCCTCCTCTAATGAATTTTCTCTCACAGTTTTTATTTTTTACTTGAGTATTCTTTTATTCTAAAGTGACAAAATATGAGGATTGCCAAAATGATTTATTTAAAAATTTGAGAAAGAGAAAAAAATCATATGGAATTTATATCAAGGACAGTTATAGTCATTATTATTACTATTATTATTGTATAAAAACAGAAAATATCTAAAAAATAAGACGAGAAAGGGAGAAGGACTCTGAAGCACTCTGAAGGAGAGCATTGCTATCTTAATTTATTTTTATTTCATTGTTGCAATGTGATGAAATCTGTGATTTGGAAACCGATGGGGTTTTTACGACTATGAAGAGCCAATAGAAGAGAGGAAGAGTGACGCCGGACATTACCGCCAATGCTGACCAATTGTGACGTTTTTCAACCTTTCTGATGACTGCATGGCGACTGATCAAATGACAATTAATAGGAATGGCTGGAAATCCAAAAAAAGAAAAAAAAGAGATTTTTTTGTCACACTAAGAAATTATACAATGTGAATATATATAAAGAGATCACTTTTATTTGTGGGTATTATGGGGGAAATGATTTGGTTAATAAAGTCCTTAGTCATGTTTGCACACATCTGAGTTTGATTTATACTCCCTCCTCCTTTCCGTCTCTTTTACCTTTTCCCTTCTTTCAGCTTTTCTGGTTCACTTATATCATCAAAGCACCCATACAATAAGTTCAGTAATTCAGTAATTCAACTTGTATAGAATCTGTCTTGCATTAAGTTGCCAGTATTTAGCCCAACAATGATGAAAACTAGATTCCTGGTGGTATTTTGAATTAAAGTCTCCACAAAACTTTATTTTTCTGACTTGTCCTGCACTCATTGAATAAAGTTAACCCTAATCTAATCCCAGCATGCAATAACAGGCTTTCAAAAGACATCAAATTAACATAAAAACTGATTTAAACGTTTTACATTTGGGAAATTTAAAAAACGTAAATCAATGTTAGACTCTATTTTTACACAAATGTAATTTAAGCTAACAAAACTATCACATTGGCCACATTTCTATCCTTCTGCACACAGTTCTCAGAAGCCTTGTGGCAGTAGTGAAGTCCACCCTGAATTAACCAACAATGTTTGTGTACTTTTATTAATCAAAAGTGTATTTTTGTGGAGGCTTAAAACTTCTGCTGGGTTAGCTGAGGAGACTACTGCTTTGTACAGGTCTTTCTACTCTAAAAGGAAACTTTGCTTTCCAACTTCCCAACCTTTACAAAATAATCTTTTGCCCACAGAATGATACTGCTACCACCATGTTCAATAAAAAAGTGATGACCTTCTTTTGGTTTCTGAATAAAATCTTAGTTTAAAATCTTATTTTGGTTCAGAATCTAGTAAAAATGTATCATGTGAAAAACAACCATGGCCTGAAAAAAACAAGACCTAATCATTCTTTACCAATGCTGGGTATTTCCTTTGATCAACAGATGGCACTGTGTAGTTACTGAATCAAGTCCTCTTCTAAGAAAGGAATGTGAGGAGGAAAAGGATGGTTCACCATCACAATATTTTGTGACAACCCAGAGAGAAACATCAAGGGCAGCCCAGCAGCCTCCTCCGGCATGCGCCAGCCATTTGCAGTGGCACAGCACCTAATCATGGTGAATTATTCATGCCAGAGCTGACATTGGGACCTGGATCAGGTTTACTCTGTCAAGCTGATTCTGAAGGTGCCCGAAAATTTGGATGGGGCAGCAAAGATTGCATGTGTATAAGGTGTATAAGTATAGGAGTAAGCAGCCTATGGCCGTATGGAAGAAGGCGCTCCCATTGAGAAGTCATTCGGTTTTGTTCCTGTTCCCTGTCAGAAAAGAAGCCTATCTTATATAACTCTGGACGAGGTGTTAAAAAATATTTCTGTACGTTGCCACTTTGATGATCTTACTGGATTATTAAATTATTAAATTAAATTTTAAAATGACAACAAAACAATTTGCAGTAGAAAGAGCAAGAAATGTGGGCGACAGCTATCCTTCTGATTTCTATGTGCTCCCTTTTCTTGGGAAACAAATTAAAGCAGTTTGTCCATCAAGACTACCTTTAGCCTTTTTCTGTCATTTGTGAAACTTATCCATCAGGACAAGGTAAGACTGCTTATCATAGTAGTAATGTGTTACTTCTAACTGCAGGCCATCATCACACCTCTTTCTGCTGCCAGCAGTCAGAAAATGAGTCTAAAATCAGGGCCCTGAAACAGAGATCCACACAGTTAGTCTGCTGCTGTGGTTACCAGTCTGCGACATACGTAGGCGGCCAAATTTAAACACTGTACTTTCAAAGAATATTTGTGTTTTTCCAACTGCTCAGTTTTAAATGCATAGTCAGTCCACGTTTCCTGGCTACAAGCAGCATTACCCAACAGGCCCAATTCCTGAGACATCGTCATTGCTCTTATCTGACAGAAGCCCTTAAGATTTTCTTTTACCTAATGATGATGATACCTTTGTGTGATGAGGAATAGGCAAGTGCCCTCCCATCTGAGTTTCATAATGAGGTGCCTGAAGAATAGGCAGGAGGCTAGGGGGCAATTTGAAGGACATGAAACGGAAGGACATTCCCCCAGAGTTCACACAATTCTTCCTCAATCAGTCACACCATCTCTTCTCCTTCTCTCGCCGTGTGGCCTCATAAGGACTAAGTTTGTTTCCTTGACATTGTCTTCACCATGTTACGCTCCCTTTCAGACCTATTATTTTTCATCTCTGTTTTGATCCCGCTCCTTTCTCTTTCTCAAATCCTGTTATTAATCCAGCTGTCTGCACGTTCTTGTCTTCACGAGGGACTCCAAGAGTGCAGGATGTTTCTGGGAAAAAAAATTGTTTCCGATGGGCTTCTATTGACAGGCCAAGTATACTGATGTATTCACAGCAGCTCACACGTTACTTTGGTCCCATATACAATTATGTCATGTAGTCATGCTTTGCACCTCTGACATGTTTTTAACACTTATGATCAGATAAATCCGATAAAGACCGGGTATCAGCATAAGTAGCACACTGAAGACACAGTCCACTGCAATCCAATTTTAATCAGAAGCATTACATTAATAGATATATGTACATACACACTAAAATATATAATATAAAAGCTGCTTCTCTGCTTCTTGTACACAATGTCATTGTTTTCACTCCAATCTAACACCTGAGTACTTAAGGTGTTCCATTAAAACTCACTTTTGTCCAAGTGCTATATCGGAGCACTTGGTTACCATTATTTTTAACAGGTTTGTGTTCTGTTAAATGCATTGTGCTGTGGGTGGATAAACTGTTGTGGTCTTCTTATGGCTTCTATGGCTTCCTGCTTTTGGTCTGGAATGAAGAGGTTTGGACTGCAGAACTAATACAAACTGTTGGTCATCTGATTCCTGCTGGGACTGCCACATTCATTCTCATTTTTGTTATATGCTTCCCAAAGCCTCCCCTAACTGCATCAGTTTATATTTTTCTCACATCAGTGATCAAATTAGAACCCCAGCTGTCTACATTTGGACTAATCAGCAAGAAATCACTGTTTCTTAAAATATATTTTTGGCCTTTTCAGCAAGACTGCATCTCTGACAAATGAAATCAGAGTAAATCTTTCAGAGTATTGCCTCATATTTCATTATTGTAAATTGATGGAGCGGGGAGTGTGGGCTGGCTGCTTAGTGCTCTACTTCTGGGGCTAAAGTTTATGTACACTCTGCTTCATCTTATGACTTTAGGGTAGGGAGGGCCTCATGTAAAAGTCAGTAGTTTGAAAGAAGATGAAAGTTTTAATTTCTTCTCTGTATTCCTGAAACTACTCTGGAAGACAGCAATGGTTTAGAAAGCTGTGCTAAAGTCAAATAAACATGGCTATTTCTGAAAATTCTTCATAGAACCATCACTGACATGCATCAAGAACATGGCTGTAACCGACCATACTGTTACCTTTTTTCTTTAATTCTTAGCACACTGTTTTTCAAAGCATTAAACATATGTAGTAGGGGAAACAGCAGTTTACCAAATCTATTCCGTAGATCCATAGCAACAAATAGTGCATTGGAGACGTAAGGATATGTAACAAAAAATGTAAGAGGGTGCGATAGAATTAAAGTTATCCATTGTCTGTTTGTCAGCTGACAAAAGTTTAAAAGGTTAGCAGCTTGTCTGACCATTTATGTTGGAGTATATAAAGCTAAACAGTGTAAACTGTCAGACTTAGACGTTGCCACCAACAATTGCAGGAATCACCAAATACATTGGAACAGGTCATTGATGTGTATATATTTTTCTTTTTGCCAAGTCTTCTTTTAATCCATTGCACAGACCTACAAGAGAGATGCAAATCTTAGCTGAACATGGTGGTGCAGAACAAAGCATATAAGGCATTATGAAGTGGGATTTGCAGTTGCAAAGGGAGAAGTCTCATTAGCGGAACAGAGAATAAGGTATAAATAGCACCTGGTTTCTAGGATTGATTCACAAGGTCAGTGGAGCAGCGGGACTGCTGGGGGCTCAGGCTTCTGGGACAGTGTTTGAATATGAAGATGAGAGAACATGGTCCACCGTGCATGGAGGAGGAACGTGAGATAACAGAATCAAGAAGGGACGGGAAGAGTTACAGACTAGCCAAAAATGTAAACTGGTTTATAATGCGTGTTTTTGTTTCAGTCACTTCCTTTTCTCAACAAGCTTAATCTGACTGATAACTACATATTTTGAGAGTGGACAAAGATCTTTGTTTTCCACTGCTGACATATGGCTTATGTGTTTTTATTTTGCTTTAGGTTAATGTTCTTTTCTATGATTTCTTAGTTTGTAAATTTACTCTCGGCTCTGTGTTCTGAGTTGGTATTTTGTTTTATTTTCTAATGCCTGGGCATAACCCCAAGCTATCTTAATTATCCCTGTTTGTAACTCCGCTCCGCTTTCGCACATCTCCACTAAGTCAGCCACAGCTGCAATGCCTTCTTCATAAGTCTGTACTCCTATCACACGAATAATAGTTCTCATATAATTCTTACTGTACTTTGATCAGTTCTCATCTATGCTTTTGGTTCTTGACCTCTCAGTCATTTTGTTTAACTATTTTGTCTGTTGTTTTCCACATATAGTTTTTGGCGTGCCATTTTAGCTGTTTTTCTGTTTCTTAACGGTGATTTTTAGAATGAATAATGCTAATAATCTTCATTTTGCTTGGTGCATTAATGTCCAGGCTCTTATTTATCCAAAAATTAAATGGATGCAGATGGTGCAGATAACCACAACCAAGCTTAAATAACTTGCCAGATAAGAACTTGTAGGCTCAGAAGCTGCAAAAAGTCTCTTGCAGTCATACACAACTAAATCTGCTAAAATCTAATGGTAAACACCAAGTAACCCTGGATGAGAATACGATTCATGGGCTGTTGACAAGCCCACCTGATCGGACACCATTTTCAGTGACTTGCCAGCTGAGGCCGATGAGTAGAGCTGAGCAGGTTCCATGAGTTATTGTCGCCTTTTAGCTTTCCCATCAGGGGTTGCCACGGCGCGTCAGCCTTGACTCACACGGTAGGTTTGGCAGGCAGTTTTATTTTGGATGCCTTTCCCGCACACAACCCTCACTGTTCACAGGCCTGGCACTGCCACCAACAGGACTCAGAACACTGTCCCCCATTTAAGGCTGAATGAGTGATGAAGAAAAATGCTTTTTAAACAAATGACCCAGGAGACACGGCAAGTATACACAGACATCTTGGTCAACCAGCAATTCTTGCACTAAAGCCACTGGTGCAGCAAAGAGTCAATGTGGGCCTCAAGCGATGAACTCTGACCAAACCTTGGTCAGAGTTCGGTACAAAGACACACACACACAGTGTTTTATAGGCCATTTATGCTCAGCACTTACTCTGACATGCATGTATTTGGGAACTATGAGAAGAACCTGCAGAGCTACATAGATGCACACATGCCAAATGAAAATGTAAAAATCTATCGGTACTATAGAAAAGTCTGATAGGATGTGAGATGACAGCACCAACCACACGTGGTGCCGCCATTGGTTCTTCACAGTGCTGCTGATCTATTCACAAAAGGTTTCAAGTTTGAATCATCTCTTTGGTCTTTATGTTTGTGATGAAAATGCAGAATGTCTTATTATGATGACTTGATGTTACTGGGCCCTCCAGCTGTTACTGGAATGCCTTTAGCCCCAGAAAACACCACCTCATGTCCGGAAATAAAAACAAGACTTACAGTAAATACCATTGAAGTCATAAATTATTAATGAGACGTGCACAGTCAAGATATTGACAAGACCCAAAGAGACCCATGTGTTGTTTACTGTTTGTAAAACTTTTGAAATATTTTAATATCTGCACTCTCACAGTTGCAATGATTAATATTATGAATCTGTTATCATTGTCTAAGATATAAGTCTGCTGTCAATTCAACTGCAAATGAAAAAAGACTAGACATGTATTGATGAAATGAGAATCCAATATTTGTTGATGCACAGTATACTTATTGTCTGAGACAAAGTGACAAAGATAATATGCTGACTATACTTAAGACAGTGAACACAGAACTACTTTGTTTTTGTTCAGCAACAGAGACAACACAGATATCCTGATGTGTCAAATAGCAAGACTG